TCCCCCCTCAAAAATCAAATGGTTCGTCCTTAAGCATGCCCATTTATTTACCAGAATCCAATAATATGCTCATGAGCACGCTTATGTCCATACAGCATAATTTTCGTGTGGCTATGCCCGTGCTTATGAGATACCGGATTACCGTGCTTATGGATGCCGCTTATATATGTACCAAAATCCTGCAATATGCTCTTGAGCACGCCTATGGGCAGGCATCAATATAACGGTCGGCCACCGGCCGTTATGAGAAACCCTATATGGGGTGTCTCATAGGCACGGTCATAGGTTCACGAAAATTATGCACTTTGGTTATAAGCTTGCTCATAAGCATATTACAGGATGTTGGTACATATATGTGCGTGCTTATATGAATCCCTATATGGGGTGTCTCATAAGCACGCTCATAGGCACACGAAAATTATGCACTTTTGTCATAAGCATGCTTATGAGCATGTTGGTACATATATGTGCGTGCTTATGAGAATCCCTATATGGGGTGTCTCATAAGCACGTTCATAGGCGCACGGAAATTATGCATTTTGGTCATAAGCGTGCTCATGAGCATATTACAGGATGTTAGTACATATATGCGCGTGCTTATGAGAATCCTTATATCATGTAAGCACGCTCATAAGCACACGAAAATTATGCAGTTGGGTCATAAGCATGCTCATGCGCATATTACAGGATGTTGGTACATATATGGGGCGTGCTTATGAGAATCCCTTTATGGGGTGTCTCATAGGCACACGAAAATTATGCACTTCGGTTATAAGCATGCTCATAAGCATATTACAGGATGTTGGTACATATATGGGGCTTGCTTATGAGAATCCCTTTATGGGGTGTCTCATAGGCACATGAAAATTATGCAGTTTGGTTATAAGCATGCTCATAAGCATATTACAGGATGGGCATGTTGGTACATATATGTGCGTGCTTATGATTGTGGTACATATATATGATTATGATTATGATTATGGTACATATATATGCATTTTGGTCATAAGCGTGCTCATGAGCGTATTACAGGATGTTGGTACATATATGTGCGTGCTTATGAGAATCCCTATTTCATGTAAGCACGCTCATAATCACACGAAAATTATGCACTTCGGTTATAAGCATGCATGCATATTACAGGATGTTGGTACATATATGGGGCGTGCTTATGAGAATCCCTATATGGGGTGTCTCATATGCACACGAAAATTATGTAGTTTGGTCATAAGCATGCTCATAAGCATATTACAGGATGTTGGTACATATATGGGGCGTGCTTATGAGAATCCCTTTTTGGGGTGTCTCATAGGCACACAAAAATTATGCAGTTTGGTCATAAGCATGCTCATCAGCATATTACAGGATGTTGGTACATATATGGGGCGTGCTTATGAGAATCCCTATATGGGGTGTCTCATAGGCACACGAAAATTATGCAGTTTGGTCATAAGCATGCTCATCAGCATATTATAGGATGTTGGTACATATATGGGCGTGCTTATGAGAATCCCTATATCATAAGCACGCTTATAGGTATACGAAAATTGTGCAGTTTGGTCATAAGCATGCTCATGAGCATATTACAGGATGTTGGTACATGTACCGCGCGTGCTTATGAGCATCCCTATATCATAAGCACGCTCAGTAGGTACACGGAAATTATGCACTATAATTATCCCCCCTTGGAAATTCCAGGCGAGCAGGCTACATTGGACTGTTCAGTTCTCAGTTTGAGATCAATGGGTTGTTTTTTTCATCTGTGTCCACACCCCCCGTCTTGTTAATACCACGTTTTCAATATGGCGGAGCAAGATTTGACTTCAAAAGTTGGGTGTTATTTGGACAGACATTTAGTGTTCCCTTTGATGGAATTTTTATCCGTTAAAGTGGTAAGTTGGTTTGCTAAGGTACTGTTGTGTTATCTCTATATGTTTAAATGTATCGTACTGTACAGGAATTGTAAGTATTTGAATGTTCATTCATGAAATTTTGTTCTAATATTAGAATATATATATTTACTATATATATGAATATTTTTTTCGTATTTTACTCGAGGTATATGATGAAACAGAAGTGTTACAAGGGATCCTTGAACTTCTTAACAACACAAAAATGGTGAGTTTTAATATAATAGTTTTTCTTGTGGATTTAAAAATTATTGACAAATAAAATTTTGTCTGGCAATGTTTCGGTTGTCATCTTGCGAAGTGAAGTAAACACAATCGAGTAACAACACTATGACCCTAACAACAAGTATTATTGTTGGAGACGAGGCGACAGTTTGGCCTTGTGTTTGCCCCACTTTCAAGATTGTATCATGAAACACCAACTAGAGGTCGGCTAGTGTGGAAAGTTTGTTTTCGCGTAACCGAGATATTGGGTGCGCAATTTTGATGCTTTCTATATATTTACTATTAAATTTTCGAAATCTCGGTTGTGCAATTTCAAAATTTTCCAGCCTGCGGAGTCTGTGTGTTCAGGATCGGTTGTTTTCAGGGGATGGTCTTGTTTAAAACTTTGAGCAATACTTCTCAAATTCGTTAATAATTCATGAGCAATTCAGCCAATGATAATCGCCTATTTGGTCACAAGATGCCATTTGGATAACCCGGTGAAACTTGATGAAAGTCACTACTGTTTTCATCAAATATCATAATTATGCATGCAAAATTACTTGAATAGAATTCCTAATTACGTTATGCTTGGTTAAGAATTCTATTCAAATCAGCAAACAAAAACATTCTGTTACGTCTCGATTCATTTGAGAAGCCATATAAACAACTCAAGCTCATGTCTCACCGGGATATCCAAATACTCGAAAACAATGTCTCGCTCTCGTTGTTCATATATTACAAGAAGATCTAGATCTTTCCCTAAGCATTTTATATTTATAAGAACTGAACTGTTTTGTCAGGTGGATCTTGCTATGGACGTGTTTAAAAGAATTCACCCAGACGAAGAAATTCCTGAAGGTTCGTTACAAAGTTTTGCCACTTAGAAGATTAACAGAATGTGTGGGCAGATTAATGATCAATCCATTGAGTGCCAGCATTTAAATGAATGAGTAAAACCATCTGGCGTTAGACTGAGAGTAATATAATAATGTAGGGAACATTAGCACAGTTTGGATGAATTTCATGTTGTATGTTGTTGCTATTTTCTGTTTGTTGCCGTCACGAGGCCTTGTTTTGGTGAATTTTGTCATCTTAGGACTAATTGAGAAACGAGCAGAAGTAGTGAAGGAATTGAAACAACTGGAGGAGAAATCTGAACCTGTCACAAAATTATTTCAGGATGAGGAATTTCTAGAAAAAGCACAAACTAGCAGGTTTGAATGTCATGCCTTTCTATTTAGATTTTGTATGCAGCCAATTCAATAAAGCTTGTCCATTGCAAACTTTAAACTCTAAACCTTAAACCACTCTAATACTACAAAGCATAATGTGAACATCATTTAATCAGTTTGGAAGTCATATATGGGGCCCATTTCTTATAGACATGGTAAATATCTCCTTACGAGAACAATTCATTCACAAATAGCTGCAATATTCAACTACTAAGCTTGAAACTTGTGCTCTCATTAAGGCTTGGCGTGACCATTATTTAAGATGGTCGAATCTGCATACGTTATCTTTTGTTTATACAGTTTATATCAGCTTTTTACACATAGGCATGACTAATATCTTGATTTCATTCTCATTGTGTTTAGAGATGGGAAGCATTTATTTGAATATATACAGAAAGAAAAGGGTGTAAGTAATTCATTGCTTGAACATGAAATTGCTCACGGACAGATTTATACTAGAGCCTTGTAGGGATGCACCGGAACCGGTTTTTTAAGTTCCGGCCGGAACCGGATCCGACCGGAACTGGAAAAAAGTTCCGGCTGGAAGTTCCGGCCGGAACCGGAACTAATTTATTAAGCCATATATAGTCATATGTTACTTTGTCCACTGCCAGACAAGCAGACACTTCAAATCATCAAGTAGAGAGTTTGCAAATGTCAGAATAAAAAGACTGACAAACTTTAAACGTCATAATGAAGTGTTAATAGTGTACATTTCCCTTGCGTAGTCCAACTTTCTTCCTACTGTGACCTTTTGTTAGACACAAAAACGTTTGATATTCTATCTCTTTGAAAACGACAGAGTTCCGGTTCCGGCTATGCTTTTTTTACTAGTTCCGGCCGGAACCGGAACTCTAAAAAATCGGTGTTCCGGCCGGAACTAACTGGCCGGAACCGAGTTCCGTTGCACCCCTAGAGCCTTGAGGGAGCTTCTGTGGCATCGTCATCAGCGCAAGCCCCTTTCACCTCCGAGATTGTCGGTTTGATTCTTGCTGCAGACTTGTGTAAAGAGAGTCAGTCAGACTCAATGCTCTGCGCCGAAAGTCGTGGGTTTTCTCCACGGGCACTCTGGTTTCGTCCAACATGGAAAGTTGACAGGGTGTGTTAGGATAAACACGGTTAATTAAGAAAGCAATCACAATCATTGTAAAGACAAAATAGTCTGGGCTGGGTATGTAATTATAGGGAAGCGCAATACTTCAATACTTGATGGAAAGTACATTTGATCATTCTGTGCTGAGTGGTTATATTACTACCTTAAAAAACAAGCAGAAACTCGACGTTTCGAGCGAAGGCCCTTCGTTTAAATTTGTGCTTTTAAATTTGCGCTATATAAATGTTAATCATAATCTTTTTTAATCTTAAGTTTCCATAACTCTCACTGTTGCAAATTACAATAAAAACAGGACACTCAACCAATTACAACTAGACAATGAACTAATACACTAAAATGCACATAATTCTTCAACAAACACCTATACACGATAGTCCTGAATGTGGACAGGCTGGTGGCAAACTCGTGGTATTCAAAAGCTATCGGGGAACCATTAGCCTGTATGGCTAGGGGACCACCGGGGTGCTTTACCATTTTCCTAATGTTTCAAATTTTGAAATATCCAGTCAGGATACAGTCATTCACAGTTTGGTATCTGAAACCAAGATTTGTGAATATCGAGAGACTGTAAATTTCAGATCCTGCTTAACACAAAAGCTTTTTGATTTTTTGATTTTTTTTCAGCATTTTGATTTTTTGATTGTGAAAATGTTCTTGTGTTTGTTATCAGGTTGAATACGAGACAGTTGAGAACCTCTATCACTATTCCAAGTTTCAATACGAGTGTGGCAATTATCAAAGTGCAGCTGATAACCTTTACTTTTACAGAGTATTGGTAAGTTATGAAAGTAGTTTCATATTATACTCGCACTGCTTAGTACAATGAAAAAATTGTTGCCCTTATTACAAGTTATCTTTGCATGTTTTAAAAAATTGCAATATAGATATAGACAGTAAAAAATGATTAAGTAAGATACTTTTGAGTAAGAGAATTTTTGTCCAGAGGTTTGTAGCCCTCAGTATATATGATGACAGAAAAACTGAATTTGGGTGATTGTTATATTTTTCTCCATAGGCACATCATACAGAACCAAAGACTGTGGACGCTCTCTGGGGAAAACTTGCTTCAGAGATTCTGATGCAGAATTGGGATGCAGCTCTCACAGATCTGGATTTACTGAAAGAAAATGTTGATCAAAATGTAATCATTCTTATGGCGTACCTACTTAAGACCTAACCATGCATGGAAACATGCCATAAATTAACCCCCACATTGAATTGATGCCCCTGACATTCTAATGCAGTGCCCTGACTAATGACTACTGAAAAACTGTACCAGGGGATAATCTTCAGTTTGCAGACTTGGACTACAACTACCTAAAAAATAAGACAAATTTCCTGCAAACCAGCTGAGCATTTTTGTGCTAAATCTGTACCTAAACATATTGTCCTAGTTGACGATAGTTTTAGATTCAGGGAAAGATATCGACCTTCAAAATTTCAAGTTGCAAATCTTTCTGTTTAACCTTTCCTGAGAGCAACACTCGTGTGCTCGACTACAGTATTTTATCCACCGCTGACCTGTCACCAAGCATTCAAGACTTCTTCAATTTTTCCTCTAGCATTATCCTGAACTGCAGCAGCTTCAGTTAAGAACGTGGCTTATCCATTGGAGTCTTTTTGTGTACTTCAACCACCCCAAAGGACGAGATCTTTTAATTGATCTGTTTCTATACCAACCAAAGTATGTATCATCAGCCACTATACCTTTCTGAAAAGTATATCACCTTGGCTATAGAGCTTCGTGTATGTGGCATTTGTCAAAGCCTAACGTCTGTCCCAAGGTGACATATTTTCTGGAAGCGTTGAGATATTCAAATGCTCATTGCAAATCTTGACATCTCACATGGTCAGGACAAATAGAATTTACTTTATACTGGATAGCTCTATCAGTTCAAAACTCTTCTCCCTAGAGGTCAAGTAAGGATCATTTCTTATTGATCCAGTGTTACTACAGGAGGAAACCTAAACTAAACTAACTTTATTTATACTGGATAGCTCTATCAGTTCAAAACTCTTCTCCCTAGAGGTCAAGTAAGGATCATCTCTTATTGATCCAGTGTTACGACAGGAAGAAACCTAAACTAAACTAACTTTATTTATACTAGATAGCTCTATCGGTTCTAAACTGTTTTCCCTAGAGGTCCAGTAAGGATCATCTCTTATTGATCCAGTATACTACAGGAGGAAACCTAAACTAAACTAACTTTATTTATACTGGATAGGTATATCAGTTCTAAACTGTTCTCCCTAGAGATCCTGTAAGGATCATCTCTTATTGATCCAGTATTACTACAGGAGGAAACCTAAACTGAACTAATGTTATTTATACTGGATACCAACGCGATACGTAAAATAAAAGAAAACCTTTTATTCTAGATATCTTAACGCGATTCAAACAATGTGCCCGCATATTCTACGATACCTTACGACAGCGGTAATCACCACCAAGAGACGTCGTGTAGTTCTAAAAGATCTGGTCAAAGTGATTGAACAAGAGTCGTATACGTACAAGGATCCTATCACCGAGTTCTTGCAATGTCTCTATGTCGATTTTGATTTTGATGGCGCGCAGAAGAAACTCAGAGAATGTGAAGCGGTGAGTCTAGTGTCCCGTGAACATACCGTATTTAAATCATTACAGTAGTTGAAGGGTCTTCTAGAATAAGATATATGAACAACTTGGGAAAGTTTCTTGCCTTTTATGTTATGTTTTGTAAATACACCATATTAAATATATTAACGCAAATCTTTGTCCCACAGGTGCTGAAAAATGATTTCTTCTTGTGTGGCTGTATTGATGAATTCCAGGAAAATGCTCGACTTTTTATTTTTGAAACTTTCTGCAGGATTCATCAGTGTATTAGCATCGGGTAAGAAAACACGTTCAGTCTGTGTTACAAGTCTATTGAGTTTCCCACTCAGTGGTGACAGGATTTCCCAACAGGCTATTGCTCAATTGACCATTTGCGTAATAGACTAAATTTTGATCTCAACAAGTCTAGACAAAAATTTCATCACAGCTTGAAAGGGCATCACAAAATTAGTAATATTCCAAAGTTTCGTTGCGAAATGTTGTAAAATTCGGAAAATATAGCCATGCGACGTTTGCAATTTTCAGTCATTTTAGATTACAGACGGGAAATTGACAGCCTCAAAGGGTTTGGGGCTGTCAATTTCCCGTTTGTAATCTAAAATGACTGAAAATTGCAAACTTCGCAAGGCTATATTTTCCGCATTTTACAACATTTCGCAACGAAACTTTGGAATATTTACTAATTTTGTGATGCTCTTTCAAGCTCTGATGAAATTTTTGTTGAGATCAAAATTTAGTCTATTACGCAAGTGGTCAATTGATAGGGGATCCGAGGTACCTATGATGTAACGTCCTTATCCGAGAAGACGCCGACAGTCTAATCATTTACTGATGTCAATGTACGTTAAAGGTAGCCTGTGCATGGCAGGCGGTCCCTAAAATCGGGCAAGCCTGGGTAGCTAATGTAAAGGTAGCTCTTTCTCCTCCATTATTTTTCCTTGGGCAATCTCGTTCTCCGAGCCTGCGATCCTCGGGAAGGAACGTGAGGCTCGTAAAATATGCGCATTCCATATCAACGGCCAATCAGATTCCTCCCTGAAACGGATTATCCCAGAGCCTCGCGTTCCTTCCCGAGGATCGCAGGCTCGGGGAACGAGATTGGACCTTGGGTAGAGGTCTGACCAAGGATTAGGCCCGGCTCTCCCAGCTTGAAAGTCAAGCGTGGTGACCACGACACGTGCTGGGTTCAAGGCAGCAGATGGTGTTGCACAGGATCCGTCTACTACATGATAGTGCAATCTTGCACCTAATCCTGTACTCACAAAGGCAATGTTTTCACTTTGCAGAATGTTAGCAGAGAAGTTAGATATGTCTCCCGAAGATGCTGAGCGCTGGATTGCTAACTTGATTAGGAATGCCAGACTGGATGCTAAAATAGATTCCGAGAAGGTAGTCAGAGTGCTTGATTAAACTACAACTTTATTTATACTGGATAGCTCTGTCAGTTCTAGACTGTTGTTCCTAGAGGTCCAGTAAGGACCATCTCTTATTGATCCAGTGTTACTACAGGAGGAAACCTAAACTAAACTAACTTTATTTATACTGGATAGCTCTATCAGTTCTAAACTGTTCTTCCTTGAGGTCCAGTAAGGATCATCTCTTATTGATCAAGTGTTACTACAGGAGAAAACTTAACTAAACTAACTTTATTTATGCTGGCTAGTTCTATCAGTTCTAAACTACTCTTCCTAGAGGTCCAGTAAGGATCGTCTCTTATTGATCCAGTGTTACTACAAGAAGAAACACAGTACCCGGAGAAAAGCTATGGCATTGGTTTGAGTCAGTCCAAGAGGCATTCACGTGTAACTGTGACAAAATTTCAGACAACCTGAGTCGAAATGATTTCTTTCTTTTGTCAAGGGTCACGTGGTTATGGGTACCCAGGCCTCCTCGGTGTATCAACAAGTGATGGAAAAGACAAAAGGACTTCTGTTCAAATGTCAAGTGTTGGAACAGAATTACGAGAAGAAAAAGAAATCTGGGACGAGTGACAATTATGCATCAAAAGTAAGGAAATGAATATTATTGGTTCCCGTCTCTCCCCAGAGCGCCTAGCGTCGCGGAAGAGAAAGGCATGAACCAGGATGCATGATCCTTTTCATGATCCATCTTGATCCTTTTCATGAAATATTGTCGTCTTGTAAATTGAAAGAAGTAGTTACATTTGCTCCATTTCCTGCATTACTGACGATTTCCTGCATTACTGAAGCCACTACACGCGTAGAAATCTCACATCTTGTAGCAAGTCTGCCAACAAGCCGTCAACAAGTTGTGTTCGTACTGCTTGTCCCAAGTTGTCAACAAGTATGTGAACAACTTGTATAACAACCTTGTTGATATGATCAGACTTGTTACAAGGTTGTTCCAACAAGTCCGATACAGTCATGATAGACCAAAATTGTTACAACCTTGTGTCGTCAACCTTGTAACATTCTTGTTATATCATGACTGTATCAGACTTGTTAGAACAACCTTGTAACATTCTTGTTTGTCAACATTCTTGTTTGTCATGACTGTATCAGACTTGTTAGAACAACCTTGTGACAAGTCTGATAATGCCATCTAGCTTGTTACAAGTTGTTTACACCTTGTTCCAAACTTGTTACAACTACTGTAGGAACAAGCGTTGCCAACACAACTTGTCGACAGCTTGTGAACAGATTTTTAACAACTTGTTTGTGCGTTTTTATGTGTGTACTATTAAGAGCGAATTTTGAAACCAGCTATTCTTCTTTATTTTAGGGTGGATGGTCAAATACTTACGATACCTCATTTATGAAAAACTAAACAACTCTATAACATGAAGACAGTCTATTATATATTACACCAAGAAATGAACATTAATACTACCTCAATAATATACACCCTTTGGGAAAGTATGTCACTTCAGCTATCCAGCCTCGTTTTCGCGTATATGACATCAGTTCAAGCCCAACATTTGAATCACGAAAGCGAGGCTCGTAGCGAAGGTGATGTAGTCTCCTAAAGGGTGTATTCGGCTAACTTACATGAAAACATTTCTCAGGCTACTCTGTGAACAGCGTCTTTTAGACGGACTTTATCGAAATTGTAAGGCTGTAAGCTGTGGTGTTGAAATGCTGATGAAGAATTTATGACTCAATGTTCCGAGTACTAAATGATCCAATAGCTTGCTTAGCAAATGTGGTTAACGCGCTGTTCTATTTATTATTGACTGAAGCCTCGCTCAAACGAGGATGAGACAGCGGACATTTCAAGCTCTAGATGAAAATAGGGTTTGGTGAGTGTTCCAACTATGTTTTAACTTAAATTAAATATATGATAGTGTTGGGAAAGCATTAAGAAGAGCTAACCAAGGAAGCGTGAATGCCAATTCTCATCCTGCAATCCAGGTCAAAAACCTTGTGGACAGTACAAAATTGTAGCAATTTATATGATATGTTTGGAAGTATTACATGTATATCTGTCAAACCTCCGTTCCAGTCCTCTCACTTGCGAAAACGATTTCAACATTGTTTTGGGGCTGTGAATTTTAATAGCATTGAATTAATTCTGCCATACCTTACCACCTGCATACACATCAAGTATTTTCAAACAGAACAAGCTCATTAATTCGCGCTGTGATGTCATGTGTTTGCTTACTGTATCACTATCGCGTTTGTAAATGGCGAAGAAACCTAATTATGGGGAAATCGTACAAATTTGAAGTCGGGCCTAATTTGGTCATTTAAAGTGTTCTGTGCGAACAATTATACAAATTTCATGTGAAATTTTGTTGCATAGCCGTAGGCATAGGCACATTCGACAGGTTATTAAATATAGATGAGCGTCCTTGGCAATGACACATGTATACGAATAGAATTTCAAATGCGCAGGTAGTTCTACTTAAATACGGGTTTCTGTTGTTTCGTATTTAAAAACGTTTGTGCAAAGTACATATTTGATGTTGTTCAATTTGATTAAACGGAATATATAAGCTGTTTTTGTTGTGACAGGATGTTGGATGTCATATTTGCTGTCGTCGTCGTTATTTTTGTCGGCATTTGGGCGTGCATACAGGCTTATTACATTGGAAAATGTTTCGACGTTGGACAGCCTCAAGAAAGCAGCCACTACCAAGACTGCCTTTTATGAAAGTTTGTTGTATGCTTTGCTAAGGATGTGTTTAATTTTCGAGTATGAGAAAACATTATTAGCTTGAACTTCTGAAGAACTATTGAACAAGCACTTGACGGTTATCAAATATGGTATATAGAAGATGGAACGATAACATCGTATTATATATACTGAATTTATTCCATTCCTATATATGTTATTTATAAGTTTAAATAACTTCGAGTCGAACTGCGTCCTTCGCAAAAAACCTTATTCTTCATCTGCAAATAAGGATAATTAGCATAATATTTACACTGATCATGAAAGGATGCTACTTTAGGTGTTATATCCTTAAAGCGCAAGACATCTATTGTTAAATTTTTATGAAATGATAAAATACGTGTAATTTATTAAATATATTTTAATTTTTTTCTGACTGTAGTCGCCACGGCGACCTAACTAGCGAGGAAAGATTTGTCTTAAACCCCGATCAAATGAGAGTTGAGAAGCGAGAGTTTTCTCAACTCTCGTGCCCCGTCAAACGAGAACAAGAGTTGCATGAGAGTTGATGAGAGTTGAGAAGCGACAGTTTGCATGAGAGTTTTCTCAACTCTCATGCCCCGGTCAAACGAGAACAAGAGTTGCATGAAAGTTAATGAGAGTTGAGAAGTGAGAGTTTGCATGTGAGGTTTCTCAACTCTCATGCCCCGGTCAAACGAGAACAAGAGTTGCATGAGAGTTGATGAGAGTTGAGAAGTGAGAGTTTGCATGTGAGGTTTCTCAACTCTCATGCCCCGGTCAAACGAGAACAAGAGTTGCATGAGAGTTGATGACAGTTGAGAAGCGAGAGTTTACATGAGAGTTTTTTCTCAACTCTCATGCCCCAGTCAAACGAGAACAAGAGTTGCATGAGAGTTGATGAGAGTTGAGAAGTGAGAGTTTGCATGTGAGGTTTCTCAACTCTCATGCCCCGGTCAAACGAGAACAAGAGTTGCATGAGAGTTGATGAGAGTTGAGAAGTGAGAGTTTGCATGTGAGGTTTCTCAACTCTCATGCCCCCGTCAAACGAGAACAAGAGTTGCATGCGAGTTAGCGAAAATTCTCACCAACTCTCATCAAAATTTGAACCAGTTTGATGAGAGTCGATGAATCCTTGTTTAACCAATTAGGCTTGACGGTTTAGTATTTCTGCAAATGGTCTTTGCCGAATAGCCTTACTACTAGCTTGTTTCGAGTTTCTTCGCTGCGCTTATTTTTCTTCCCTGACTGAGAATTGTGTCTTTGATGTAGAGTTTTCTTTGTTCGTCTGTTTCTTCAATGCTAAAAGAAAATAATCCATGTCAAACGATGTAAAAGACCTAGCCAGCCCACAGTAAAAATCTACACGGTTAAAAATCTCACAGCCTTGACCAAAAGATATAGGTTCGCACTGCTTGTTGACAAGCCTGGAACAAGTTGTTATCATCTTGTAACAAGGCTGATGAGGCCAACAGACTCGCAACAAGTTGTTCCAACAAGTCTGATATCGTCTGCACGTAACAAGTTGTTAACAAGTTGATGACAACAAGCTCGTAGCAACTTGTTACGAACAGTCTCGTTGGAGCAACTTGTAGCAAGTCTGTTATCGTCATCAACTTTGTAACAAGTGATAACAATTTGTTCCAGACTTGTCACAACAACTGGGAACAAGCAGTGCGAACACATCCTGATATCGACTTGACAACAACCTTGTTACAACTTGTTGTTCCCAGTTGTTGTAACAAGTTTAGAACAAGCTGTTAACAACGTGTAACAAGCTTGATGGCATTATCAGATTTGTTACAAGGTTGTTCTAACAAGTCTGATACAGTCATGATATAACAAGAATGTTACAAGGTCGACGACACAAGGTTATAACAATATTGCTATAGCATGACTGTATCGGACTTGTTGGAACAACCTTGCAACAAATCTAAAATAAATATCAACAAGGTTGTTACAAGTTGTTCACAGCTTGTTCCAAACTTGTTGACAACTTGCGACAAGCAGTGCGAACACAACTTTTTGACGGCTTGTTGGCAGACTTGCTACAAGAATTAGATCTGAGACTTTTTCGTGCCGCTAGCTAGAGCGCTAACCGACATCTGCTTTCCGAGAAATACTACTACCCACCTCTTGAGAAACTCGACACATTCTGTATGTCCATATATCTCTGCAATACGTCTGGGAGTGTCGCCAGTATTCTCAGCGAGACATAATGCAGCCCCATGTTCATGAAGGATGCGTAGCGAGTTCAATCTGCCTTCTTCAGCGGCGCAATGAGCTGGTGTCCAACCTCCTGCCATTCGCACGGTCGGATCTGCATTGTGGTCTAACAGTAGCTTGGTACAACTTGCATTGCCTACACAGTGCAAAAATAGGTACGCTTTAAGGTGGCTCCCTACAGTTTTCTAAAATTTTACATATTTTAGGTAGCCTTCGTTTTGAACCAAATTTATATTGAAAACACTTAAGACAGGGCAATATAATCATTTCCAGGAAAGTTCAGAAGTCTTCTGCTGTCGATATATGAACAAATAGGAACAGTGTTAGTGTTGCCATGGCAACCATAACGTTTCATCTTTTGCACTTTTATTGTCTAATTTTACAATCAAACGGCAATATCTTTTTTTTCCTTCGGTCAATTTTTCTGAATTTATTTTTTAAGATTTATGGTTGAAAGGGGAACGACATATTAAAATTTGAAGGGATGTTTATAAGGCCGGTTTTGAGATATTCATGAATAACGACTACAAAAAATCTGTCTTATAGAATTTCTTGAAATTTTGATATGTTTGGCGAATCGTCATGCTTAGCAAACGTGCAAAGTTTAAAAAACTTTCACCGAAGGAAACGCGAGAAAAATAGTCCTAAATCCAGTTGAAGCTGTTGACGTGACAAAATATCGATTCGACATGATCACTATTTGCGTGGGGAACACGAAACGCGTACGGTTTATAGTTGGCTTTTTTAGCAATTTTCTCTTTGAGTTTTTGGCTTATATGTATCACACAGATATTTTTTACTTATTTGAAATGAAAATAAAAGATATATGTATTCAAAATACGAAACATTGAGAACACAATAACGCACTGACTTAATCCAACGTTTCTTAAATTTAGTTTTGTTGTGAAAATCGGTGTGAAAACTTTTCAAAACATTCAAGTAGAGTTTGACTTTTCGTATAAAACAACTCGTAACTGTCTGCATTATAGTTTTATTGGATTCAGCAGATAAAAACTACATGTGAACTGAGTTGAATGACAGGGTTTACGTAAGTTTCAGTGACAATTCAGGAGTGCCTTCAAGACAGTATAAAATATAATTTCAGTCCGTGACACTGTTGTTGAACATTGTGAGCATTATGAAATACAGTACTGAACGTATTAAATATATAAAAAAACACACTGAATGTAGGTAAAAACTAGCTAACAACATACGTACTGTTCGAATGTTGAAAAGTTTAGGATTATAATAAAAAACTGGCGTTTTCTTTGTAGATAAAAATACAAAAACAACTTCCCGCGGCTTGTTTACTTGTTTCAAGATTTTTACCGGGCCACGACGATTCCACGCGCGAGTCGCGAGGATGATGTCTGAGCTATATAAATATTTTAAACTGGACTATAACTGTAGGGAGCCACCTTAACGTACGGCTATCGGTAGGTAGCATGAGAGACTTTTCATATTACTACCTCTGGCTGCTGCCCAGTGCAGAGCGGTTCTGTCGCCAAATTCTGCGTCTTTAAAATTCACATCAATCCTCCCCATCATGAGAAGACTCTCGAGCTCATGGTAGTTACCGCTGGCTGCTGCTTCGTGCAGGACCAACTCTGACATCACAGCCTCAGGACACTGGGAATTAGATATGCATATATGACGTTTCAAGCCCAATATCTATTCTGTAGTTTCAACTGCATTGGCTTTATATTTCGTAGCTCCATTGTTCATCTCTGAACTTATTTGAACAATATTACTACAGGAAACCTAAACAAAGCCTGGTTTACACTATCAAAGTTTCTGTGATCACAGTAGGAATTTTGCATAGGGAAATCCTAAGTTTTGAAGGATTTGTAAGAAATGTTTGAAGGAACTCACTCAGTGTTTAACGGCTGTTGTCTCAGTCAGGGTCCTCAAACATTTTTCACAAATCCTTCAAGGACAGGACGGGGGGCCGTTCCAGAACTTTATAAACAGAGGATAGTAAGGGCTGATTCTTACTCTTAGGGAGAAAACCCGCTGCAGTGGTTTCGTAGAGTCAGACTGGAAGCAGCTCTTCCCGAATGCGTGATTTGTACTGTACGTTTATAATCACCAACGGCGAACGCTTGTCCAGTTAATGTTGGAAACGTCGACTAAACAGTCGATTTACAACGCATCTAGATAGTAGAATCTTCATGCTGGCAACTAAATCACAGATTAATCAAACAAAGCATGTTTAAGCAAAGTCTAAAGAGCTACAGTTTGAGATTACCTAAGATACCTTTGAATTGAATACCTTCTTCCATCACATAATGGTTATGAGTTTTATCACCAAAGGCAAAATACTTTTACAGTATTCAAACTTTCTTAACATAACCGCCAGGCGATTATTTTGCTATAGAAATATGACTCTGTAGAAATGTCTACCTCAAATGAATTTTAATACTCAGTAATTCAATATGTCAACAAAAATATCATATTAAATGTCAGAAGTATTCATGTGATAATCCCGCTTAAATTATTTTAAATTATTAAGCTGAAAGTTTTATCCGTTATAAAATGTTTTTCAAAGTAACTCCATCTTCGTAACAAACATGGCATTTTTGTTAAAAACTAACCGAACTGGGTGATGTTAACAAAAAATATTAGCCGTCGTTATAACTACGCCTCCTTTGAGTTTTAAAAGTCTTTCTGTGGAGGGTTAGAGCTCCTGTACTGTACAAAACCATGCACAATAATATGGCGATAGTTCATATATATAACCTACTGTAGACGTGGTAAAATTAACGCCTAGCTCAAACGTCGGGTTTAAAATGATCTTTCTCATTGTTTGAGCTCATTCAGTGCATTAGGTCCAGCATATGAAAATTTTCGACGTTTGAACTAGACCTATAAATGATGACTTGACTTTTATCTGAGACGGATGAACCCTCTGGATATTAATCACAGGAAAAGAAAAAGGTCTCCAGGTTACTGCTACTAACTTTCGAGAAAACTACGATGAACCACTTTAACGTGCCATAATCCCCACTTTAATATCCCATAATCCGTAATTTTATCCGGGGTTTTTTTAATTTTATTTTTTATTTTTATTATTTTAATTTTTATTTTATTAAGGCCATTGGCATTGGCTCATATTTCATCAGGGCGGGCGAAGGATTGTGTGAGTGTGTACGTGCATACAGCTAATTACATTAAGGTCAGTGTCCTCCGACAAAGCTAAAATAGGTAAAAGCCAAGCGCGAAAAGTACGATGGAAGTGACTAGTTTGAATTAATTAACTGCGTTTAATAAATACCTATTTTCCCTAATTTAACCGGCATAACTAAAGTTCATGGAGTAATTTGCCAGTGATTGCATTTGAAGTAGACTTAATGTATGCAAGTCATACCTCCAAGTTTGTAATTCACAAATAACTCTTGCAGATAGTTGTGAAATACAGGGTGTATGAAATAAAGTTGTTCCTTTCAAATTCAAATTAGACAACGGTTTGTAGTAATTTTGACAGCTAAAATCACTTCAAATTACTATGCGCAAAAACATAAAAGTCTTCAGTATATGATACCGCGATTACAAGTTATCCTAAATTCCCATGTGTAGAAGACCCGGCATTAATTCGTGGCATTTGGGGCTGTCAGATCCGGCAATACAATACTCAACAGGTTGTGGCTAATTTGAATTGGAGGGTCTACATCATAGATATTGTTATTGTATTTTAATTTCACATCCCTTAAAAGGCTTTTCAGGCTTTTCAGATATCTTATATACACTAGTACTGTAGATAGTGCATCTAATTATTCTGCAATTCAAAAATTGAAGTCGTGATTCCAGACTCAGGATATTCCCATGAAATGAGAAGACTCGTATGTTTTCTATTTCTTAAACAGGGAACTTAAACATTAAGTTAAACCTATTCCAAATACATTTTCACACTATTCAAATGATGAAAGTTATTGTTGGTTTTTAAGCGTTTATTAGCGAGTGGGAAACTCCAACATGGCAGCCATCTATTCAAATGGGGGTAACCGCTGGAATATTCTTGGCTTCAATTTTACTAAAAGAGATGCGCTATCTAGTGTATATAAGATATCTATGGTCTACATTTGCATTATAGACCCTGTAAAACGCGGGCAAAAAGCAGCGAACGTACGCCTATGTAAGCACGTTTCCCATCTTTCTAAATATATTTACGTACTGGGAACTAGGGTGTTTTCTGATATTTGTAAATTAAAGCTGGGCATTATTTACACAAAACGTAACTGCAGTTAGAGGTGTTTCACTGACTTGTTTTTAAGAGACGATTATGCATGGAGATCTTGTTCGGCCATTTGTTATGCAGTTGAATCACTGTGAGGGAATTTCCATAATAACAATTTCCTGGTCAGCAGGGGAATCGCCTAAAATAATCTTATATAGTATTCCTACAAATGACATTAATATATTCAATTATTCATTCGCGTTCTCAATGGACTCAATTCCTCAAACTTGCCTTTCTGGTCACGCTTTTTTCCGTGAATGAATATCGGAGTATGTTTTATATCGTTATACTGAGATTGTATGTGCATGTGAACGAGGTCTTTAACATAATTGGCTCATGCTGTGTTGATGTTTCGTTTTGTTCTTGTTACTGTTCAATTAAATTAAATAATTTTTGGACACATGACGTTCCATGAACTTGATATTACCTTAAAAGGCACGGCTATTATTTATTTCTGACCAATGGGAATTTTGCGTATACGCTCCGTACGCACTACAAGAAATCCAAATATTTTAATCTTCAGCAGTTATTCAACCATAGAACCTGCTCACAGTAGGGTATTGCTGTGGAACCCTGTTATAAATGTACATGCATTTCACGAATAAAATTTCTTTAAACTTTCCTTTTGTCATTTGTATTTGATTCTGAGAATGCACTGATGTCCAAGACGCTCTACAAGTACACCGATTTAATTTGGTGAGTCCAATATAAATTATTTTCTTTTGTCTTACGGCAAACCACTCCGTTATAGTTAGTGTAAACACAATGCTAAGAACCATAGTGAATTTTTAACGAAAGTCTTCAAGTAAGAAACATTGGAACTTGTTGTCAGCGAATTACGGTCATTTCGCTCAAAGTTCTTTCGCTCAAAGTCGTCACCGATACCTAATTAAATTACAGAATAGTCATTTCACCCACACAAAGCCCAGAAATTCCATAATACAAAATTGTTTTACATTGACATAATTGCAATTTTAATCATCACAGCAAAGTGTGTCTTTAAAATATCTCAGGTTTTTATTTGCGTTTAAAAAGGTCTCTTTAATAATTATTAATACTATGTCCATGTCTATGCATGGACTATGACTTTGGTGATTGGTACGTTGTCTATTGATAATCATATACTAGCATATATCTATCAACGAAGGGCCTTCGCGGCTTTCACGTAGTTGTACAGTCTGACATTTGTCATAGTAGACTAGTAATAGCACTATCTATACTGATAGTTTGTAGTAGCACAAGTTTATGGGAGTATTATCAAAAGCTTCCCAATGATCGAAGAGCCTTAATTCGCTCGAAACGTCGAAGTTTTCCTTGCATGACCTTGTATTTTTCAGGTGGTTTGACTCCCATGCATCAATCAGAAGTTTTTTTACTATTGGCATCAATTGTTGATCAGTCGAGGGCTAGGGTAAAGGAATAGCGAAATTTAGGTAATCTTCTTGGCAGTATATTGTTATATGATTATGAGCACTTTTAAACCAGCGCGGCAACGCTAACCAAACGTATATGATTTTCACGCACATATATATACATAGTACGCAGTATTTAGCGTTTTATATGGCCGACTTTTAGCGAGCTTAAGCAAGCCGCGAAGTTTTTATCAACACGGACATCATGCAGATTGCCGAGGGGGACTGGAATAAAAACTATGTTTGTGTCAGTTTGTGGTAATCTTCAACACATATGACAAAACATAAGATTTTTAGCTTCCTTACACGAGCGCTATGATGCAAAACAATATCAAGTTTTGCCACTTGATTCACGGCTGCACATAAGTCTTTTGAGGACATCACATAAAGACTAAACTCTAACGCGTTCGAATTCGTCAGTTGGCAACATAAGTCGCGTTTAGTTATTAATAGTGAGTTTAAGATACCCCGGTTCAGTGCGGTGTACGGGTACGAGTAGTGTCATCGTGTTTACTAGTTTTTACTGATGCCTGTAATTGGATATAATGCGAAAAATGTACACCTTAATAGACCTTTCCCCTTATAACCAAAATTTTGATCTAGGCAGGTCTATACAAATATTTCATCACAGCTTGAAAGAGCATCACAAAATTAGTAATATTCCAAAGTTTCGTTGCGAAATGTTGTAAAATGAGGAAAATAGAGCCTTGCGAAGTTTGCAATTTTCAGTCATTTTGCATTACAAACGGGAAATTGCAGCCCCAACACCCGAATCGGATGTCAATTTCCCGTTTGTAATACAAAATGACTGAAAAACGGCAAACTTCGCAAGGCTATATTATCCGCATTTTACAAGATTTTGCAACAAAACTTTGGAATATTACTAATTTTGTGATGCTCTTTCAAGCTGTGATGAAATTTTTGTCTAGATCGAAATTTTAGTTATAAGGGGAAAGGTCCATTACGAGTAAAAAAGTACAGACATCGACGAAAATATTGCTAACCAAAATCATGCTACCCGTACACCGAAACCGGGGTATCTAAAACTCACTAATTACGCGGGCCGGTTCGGTCAGTAAAAGCTTCAGAATCAGTTTTATTTGCACTTATTTTTTTCTTACAAGATTATGTATTACTAGTATATATACTGTATATATTTACATTAATATTTCATAATATGTATTTACAGATGAAGAGTGCGTAGTGGTCAAACTGTCAAAGCCAAAGGAGCAGAAGCTTTCGAGTTGACTACTACCATTATGAAATTATATTTGAGTATTTAAAACTAAAAAAAAGTTGATCTCTATAGTATTTAGTATTAGGTTCGTTTCTAACAAAATGTATGTTATATTTATGATTACTATACTGTATATATATCATTTTCAGTTTTGATAGCATATAACTTATAAGTCTAGTTAAATCTGTCGTAATTCTACTTGATATACTGCTTTTTGAAACTACAAAATGGCAACTGATTTAATTTGTTTAGGATTACATGACAAAATTTTCAACCCAGGGTTGAGTTCAACCCCGGGGTTGAAATTTCAACCCTGCTAGCTGAAGCTGAAGGGTTGAAAATTTTGTCATGTAATCGCGCGTTTGATTTTAATAGAGTTTTTGACATTTCAACCCGATAAACATGGCTGAGTTCAACCCCGGGATTGAAAATGTTCCATGTAATCGGCCTCTATGCATGATACATTGTGACGTAGATTTTTGCAAACAAAGGAATTTTCGAGGAATAGTGATGGGCGATACTAGGAATTTTACAGTAATTTGATACCGATATAATACTTATATCGGTACCAAAATAAACACAAAATGTCCAGGGGCGCCGGAGCCACGGGGGCAGCGGGGGCAGCTGCCCCCGTTGCCTAAACAGTGCGGGGGCAGCACGGGGGTAGCAGGTTGCCTTTTTTTACCAGAACTGCACTTCGAACGTCGTGCGTTTTTCACATGAATTGAGATTGAAAACTGTTTTTAAACAATTTGACTCATATTTGAATCTGAATTCCTCTCAGAAACGTTACCAATCAGTTTCCACCTATGAAAAAAAGTAAAAAAGAAAGCCTTTCTAAATAACTGACAACTGTCATGTTGCTTTACAATACATTTTAGTCTTTAGTGTCATGCAACGAATAAAAATATTCCAATCCATGCCGAAATTTGTCTAACTGTATTAGCTACAAGTAATGAAGTATCTGTTATACAGCAAAATGTTAACGAACATTGCCCCCCCCCCCACTCCCAAAAAAATTTAAGGCTCAAGAATAAGTGCCCTTTTTAAATGGCTGCCCCCGCCGCTTCATTTTGCTTCCGGCGCCCCTGAAAATGTCTATTTTCCGTACACAGGGAAAACCTCCTAGCGTGTAGTTGATGAAAACAGGCCTGAACAATATTTTGCTACCCATATTGTTCCTGGTTGTTAACGCATTGTTTGCCTGACAGTCATTTAAACACGATTCGAGACTCCCCTCCCAAATTTGAAATTTGTCTTTCTGGAATGAATTCACGGGACAACATGAATATAAACACACTGAATATTTCACTTAATATTTCCTAATGCCGCTTTGGGAGACTGACCTCCCAATATTTTTGGAAAGTTTTTTGCATTTGTAGTGCTGAAAGGATGCGGTAATGATGTTAATAATCTGTACTTGATTACTATGATCATACTATTAGGTCATGTATGTGGCGCCAACATGAATTAGCTTCCAATTCGGTATTTCAGAATCTTTTATTTGAAGTTAAGTCCTTTCGTCAAAAAAGACGAATCTAGAACCAAAAATAAAAACTGGAACTTTCCATGTTTATCATGAGTTTGCTGCGAAAGACGAATTTTAGATTTAAATCAGCCGTTTTTGCAGGAAATAACTTTCCAAAAAATTTCTGTATTCTCTTGTTCCATTCAGGCATCCATCGAATCATCCTTTTTACGATGCCTGTTAAACCATATTCAAACGCAGAGTTGAACTTTTTCAAGTTTGCATCGATCATATTCGATATATCACTGGAGGCATTGCGAAGTGTCTTCGTTGACCAGTGGAACAAGAGGATTGCAACGATCCCTTGCCTTGATCATTATATTTGGAATGACTCTGACGAGATACGCGATACATTTCTCAAAAAAGAGGATCCAAAGTGCTCCATACCCACAATTATTTCTTATAAACAATGGGATTGTACAGCGTTATTCCAAGCAACCTTGTATGCAAAAACTTTTGCTTTACCTGATAGTAAGGGCAACATGAAAACTCTTGGTGAGTTGTACTTGAAGAACCGAAAGCCTGTCCCAGGTCCATTCCATTCCACAGTGATCAGTTCCAGTGGAGATCCAAATGAAACACTAACTTTGGGAATTGATCAGCTTCGCCTTTTGAGAAATACTCTCTGTCATTCGCACAGCCTGGCTATTGATAAAGCCACATTTGATGACTACGTTAAACATGCTAAAGAGGCATTAATTGCCCTTAATCTGAGCACCGCATCTCTTGAAGCCATTGGAAATCTTGCTGAGTCAGATTTCCCAACTGCCAAAATTGAAGAGCTGAAAGAAAGATACAATAAGGAACACAATGATTACCGCAAGTCATTGGAGAGTGATGTAAAGAGTACATTAGATGTCTTCAATAAGAGGCCTCAAGGGAAAAGTGAAATGTCGTCAGCTGCCATTTTTGAGAAAATTGAAGAAATACAGGAAAAAAAACATACAGCAGGTATATTAAAACAATAACAAAACCTTCCAAGGTTTGCAATACACCCCTATTACACATAAACATTTCACTTAACTATCTAATTTATATCTATCTAAAGTTCAAGAATTCCACTTGACCACCTCTTCTAATTTCCAACTATAGCATGCATGCATGTAAATCTCTCCCACCGTGCATCCAACTCCTCTTTAAAATTTTCACTCTTACATCTTCCAATCACGAAATCTTCTATAGTTACGCAGATCTCACTCTTTAATATTTGTACTAGAACCTGCATGCGCCATTTACTGCATCTGGTCAATCATATGGAGATTAGGTCATGCACAGTCATGGCTTTTCCCCCTTTGGCAAGTGGGATTAAAGAGGGCAGCGCACTAATGAACATACTTTTCCACTTGGTGATGATACATACATCAAAAAATTTTAGATGGTATAGACCAAAGAAAAAATGATGTCTGATTGTGCAAGATTCACTAGTTTAGTTTAGTTTAGTTTAATGAAATATGTCACATTACATTACATTGCGAATTACAAATTACAAATAAATACAGGACTTGCATGCAACACCTAAACTAACAATGACACAAAGACGGAGTGACAGGAGAGGAAAACAGGACTAACGTCCCAATTGACAATCCTCCCCCTTTTTAATACAATACAAGAAATATGATCCCATATGGTTTTTCTTTTAGCTGAAATTGCAAAGTTGAAATCAATGCAACTTTGTCCAGAGCCCGAAACAGAAGATGTTGAACCTGGTCCAAGTGCAGTTGCAGAAATATGTAAGGAGTTTAGTAGTATCATATTACATAATCGTCTACTCTTTGCTCAGTTAGAATCTCAGACAGGCTGGAACAGCATAGCTGAGACGGTGTGCGGCGGAGTTCGACCCACGCAAACGAAGGGGTGCATGGGAAGTCTGGGTGGGCCATTCTTCTCCGCACAGGCCGTTTTGAAACTAAGCAAAAAGCGAGCACTATGGCCAAATTCAGTATTTATAGGTATCCAGCAGTGTAATGCATTCATTTATTAACATTACTTTACTTTAATATGGGTTATTTTCGCATATTCAATCTTCGCATACATTAAGAGCATTATGAATAGTATCCTATTTCATAGTGCTCTACTCTTTGTTCAGCTAGAATAAGGAATGGATCGGAGTAAATGATGCTAATTCGTAGTCTGTCATTATGAATCACCCCTTTTGTACTCCCC